TCAGTGTTCAGTGTCGCTATGGAAACAGTGACAGTCTGAAGCTTTGGTGTAAGATCGGGGGCTTCTGTGCATCAGAGAGATCTGTGAGTTTGGATGGGAGGCCTGTCCTGATCAGGGATGACACAGTAAATAAAATCGTCAGTGTGACAATGAGGGGACTGAAAAGGAAGGACACAGGATGGTACTGGTGTGATGCTGGAGGCTGGCAGATCCCAGTTCATATTACTGTCAAACCAATTACCATTACTGAATGTAAGTAATTAATATAAATCTGGCTGTGAATAATTTGTGCTTTAAGAAAAATAGCCAAACAGCAAATTACGCAGTTTCACCCATGACGGGGGTCTGTGCTTTTTATAGGGATAATCTGTGGGAGGGGCTGTGTTTCTTTAAAGTCCGCTATTGATAACTTTTGCTGAATAGAGCTATTTGTTAGGATCATATGTTCTGTGCTAGTGGCACAGTGGACCAGTAGGTCGTGCTCTTGCTGCACACCTCCATGCTTAGGGGTTTGAATCTAGCTTCTGCTCTGTGTGTGTGGAGTTTGCATGTTCTCCACATGCTGTGTGGGTTTCCTCCCACAGTCCAAAAACATGCAGTCAGACTAATTGGTGTCTCTAATAGAGAGAGTGTGTCTATGTGTCCTGTGACTGACTGGCATCCCGTCCAGGATGTACTCCATCCCTGTGCCCTGTCCTGCCTGGGATAGGCTCCAGGCCCCACATCCCTGACCAGGATGAGCGTTTAGAAGATAGATGGGTGGATGGCTGTAGTTTTATGTGTCTGTATGAATGTACTGAAAGATTAAGATTAAATGCCAGCATTACCTCTATGGGAGACATCCTATAATACAGTTGTGATGACCTGCACCAAGAGGAATTCCTTGTACACTTGAGGAACAATAAAGATTCAGATTCAGATTTAACTATACAGTACATACATGCACCTGTTTTCTTATTAATTTCCTGGCCAATACATTGTATATAATCTAATCCTGCTGTTAGTATGTAATTCATTCCTGCCCAGATCCCAGACACAGAGTTAGAGGCAGAATTCCATGCTATCAGGTCCTGCTCTGTACCAAATACATGAGTGTCTGATCTGTTTGTTACACCTGGAGCTGTACTGAGCCCTCAGGAATCAGCAGCTTCTAGGTCAGGATGTGTCTGTATAATGAGACACATTTCACAGGATGTTGCCGCAGACAGACATTCGTTTCCATATTACAGCCATTTGTTATGTATATAAATCCAAATACAAAATTGTTACAGAAGGTGTGCAGACTGGCTGATGTGTCTGTAGGTGGTTTCAAATTGCAGCAGAGGCCAGTGTTACAGTTATACTCTGTAATAACTGATCCAGTGCTGCAATAAGTACATTATGATATTATAATAAAATAATTAATATCACCAATTCATTGCAATTCCCTGGGATATGAACATTTTGATCATAACACTAATTTATTATTCTGTATCCAACCAGCTGCTCTATGGAATATTTTCCATTATTCTTATATCAGTTTTAAAAGGACCTTTTCTTAAGAGTCTTTAGTGACTTACAAAACAGTGTTTTTTTAATTTGTAAATTTTAACAATCCTTTTTCTTGTTTCCAATGCTGATGTTTTCTGGCACATCAATACGAAGGGAATAATGATAAACTGAGGTAAGCCTTCAGCAGCATTTACAGTAGTGTGGTGTCCAGCTAGCAGCATTTACCTGGTCACACTGTAATGGGAAACTGCCATTATAATTATGATAATTAGGATATTACTTTTTATTTTGTTTCTTAATTACAATAAACTTGAGATGGCATCCCATCCAGGCTGAGCCCCTGCCTTGTGTCCTGTGCTGCTGGGGATAGACTGCAGGCCTGTTTAGAAGATGGATGGATGGACGGATTTTACAAAACAGTATAACATGTTGTGTGAAAATCTTGAGCTATTTTTATGCTCTTTGTTAATGTCTCCTGTTCCTCACATGTATCCTGTGTAATAGTAAAGATGTGGCTGAACTGTGTTGCTATAAAGCATGTGAGACTTTACTGTTCAAATCCACCCTCTTATTCAGCTCCTTGGTCCAGCTGG